ACGCCTAAAATATGGTTTGAGATATTGAGTAATAAAGTTAAGGATAAGGCTAGAAATGTCCAATTTTGACCAAAAAAACAAATTTTTTTTATTCTTATGAAAAACTAGATTTATATGTCAAATTAACCGTTGAACACGCCTGTACAAACCGTTTTGATCTAGGACTCATAGTTTTTGAGATATTAATTTTTCATTAAAAAAACTAAAAATGGCTCTGTACCCGGAACTAGTAGTTTTTTCTTGTGTAAATTGCGAAAAAACTGTATCTCAATAATATAATATTTTGACTGAAACATATGTAAAATGCTCCGGGGAATCGATTGGCGTCGAGAAAACTGCAAAATTCCTAATAGTTTTGAAGTTATAGTCGGATTTATATTTTCGATATTTTTGATTTTATCAGAAATTTTCTCGATAACTATTTGTCGTAGAACACTGATCTTTTTTTTATATGATAGAAAATTAAATTTGCTTTCTAACGGTGCCAAATATAAGAGGTTACTACCAATAAGTCCGGAGTTATTTGCAATAGACCTCTCCGGGTGCCAAAAATCGACCAAAAAAATTTCAACCAAAAAAAATTAAAAATTTTTTATTCTTTTGAAAAACTAACACTATATGTAAAATTAACCGCAGAATACGCCTGTATAAACCGTTTTGACCTAGGATTCATAGTTTTTGAGAAATTAATTTTGAAAAAAACTAAAAATGGCTCTGTGCCCGGAACCATAACCCGGAGCGACTTCCCGTTTGCGTCAGTAAATAGATAATTTCAAGCTAATTTTAATGGTTTTTAGCTTTTTGTTCTAAGTCCTATAGTTTCGTAGAAAAACGCGTTTAAAATTTCACAATTTGACAATTTTCACTTTTTGAACGGCGATTACGGCCAAACTATTAGACTTAGAGCAAAAAGCTCAACACCATCGTAATCAGCGTAAGAAAGTCTATCAACTGCGGCTAAAGCCAAGTCAATATCTCGCAAAAAAATTGAATTTTTAAACGCCGATTACGGCGAAACTAAAGGAGATAGCGCAAAGTGCTTGGTAAATTCGTAATCAGCGCGTCAAAATCTATCGGATAAGATAGGTGTTAACAAATTTTTCCTTTTTTTTTTTGTAAATTGCGGCAAAACTGTGCTTCAATGATATAATACTTTGACCTAAACCTATGTAAAATGTTCCGGGGAATCAATTGGCGTCAAAAAAACTGCAAAATTCCTAATATTTTTGAAGTTATAGTCGGATTTATATTTTCCATACTTTTGACTTTATCACAAATGTTCTCGATAACTATTTATTGAATTTGAACACGGATCTTTTTTTTTATATGATAGAAAATTAAATTTGCTTTCCAACGGTACCAAACATGAAGGGTTATTACCAATAAGTCCGGAGTTATTGGCAATAAACCATTCCGGGTGCCAAAAATCGACCAAAATTTCGACAAAAATCCAAAAAATTTTCAACTTTAAATTTGATCTATATAATGTTTTTTACATTTCTAGAGGTCCCAAAGACTCAAAAAAGAGCATAAATCGCCATTGGGTCAAGTTTAAAAAAAAATTAATTTTTTTGAATTTTTGAAGATGAAAATCGTAAAAATAGTCAATTTACCTTAAGTTGTAAAAACGCTTGAAACAAGTTAAAATACTCTACGATGCATAGTTTTTGAGATATTGAGTAATAAAATTAAGAATAAGGCTAGAAGCAAACGAGCTTTATAAAGAAAGTTGAGGTAAATAATACAAGATCCAATACAATAATAATAACACAAATTTGAAATCTGCGTTTTATAGACTATACAAAACTATAATAGAGTTTATTTATTTTTCCTCTTCTAGGTGTTATGCTGACCATCGGTAGATCAAACTACATGCGATTTAACCACCCCGCCGAGGCAAAAATAATGAAATCCGTTCTCCCCAACCCCCGAATCTCCATGGCTTCGATCACGTTCGAGCCCGACAATTCTTTCCAATCTAAATACAATAAAAAACCACCAGCAGTGCCTCGAAAAAACTCGAAAGAATCCCTCATCGAATCGGGCGTCGAAGAGCCAGTGCCTTCCAGTATTATGACCAAAGTGTCAAAATTCGAGTATTTAGCCCAACAAAATTTCAAAAAAAGCATATCACCGAAAGTGTTCTCATCAAATCTAGTTACTGTAAATACGCCAGCGAAAGACGTCCTCGGGAAATCGCCCCCCGATCTTCAGAACTTTAGCAAAAATTTACCACAGAATGTCTTAAACTACTCCGAGATGAACCACAACGAAAAACAGCAAATTAAAAGCTCGGATCGGCCAATGTTTGGGAAAAAATCGCCACAGTACGTTAATGTGACGGTTAGCGAGAAGAAAAACATAAATAATAAAGTGATTATTTACGAAAATGGATGTATTCCGAAAAACCAAAATGTTGAGTGCAACGAATGGAACAATAAAAGCTCAAGTAATAAAAATGTTAACATGAATCGGGCTCTAACACCATCGCCGAATTACAACAGAAATCCTTCTCCACTTTTTCGGAGCACAACGCCGAATAATTGCAAAAAAGAAACTGAAATTACAGAAAACTGTAACGATGCCGAGTTAAAGAGGACGCAGGTAAATTTTTAGTTTGTTTAGCAGCGATCAGTGTTGCCAGGTCTAGTCAAGTTTCACCAAATCCGGTGATTTTCATGCTAGTAATTTTTGGAAATTTCAACAAAAAATTAATACATAAATTTTTCAATTTCAGAAAATGTATGATCCAATTTTTGCATCTTTTTTCTCAAAAAAAATTAAAGATCATCAAATTGGTTAAGATTTTTGCGAAACAGGTAGATTTTTCAGCTAGAATCACAATTATTTCGCAGAATTTCGTAAACACAAACAAAAAATTCAATAAAATAGGCCAAAAATGTAGTTATTTTTTCCTTTTTCAAGTGTTTAAGCACGTTTTTGAGATAAAATAAAAAAAATCGTTTAAATAGGCTGAAAAAATTCCAAAATTAAATCGAAATTGGTATAATTTTTTTGCTTGTTTCACACGACTTACTTCCTTTTTTGTACCAGAGGCTCATTTATTTTTCAAAATCTAAGTCTAATTTTTTCAAACACGTCTAAAAGTCAAAAAATGAATTGATAGTGAATAGTGATGTTATTTTCTTTATTTTATTGAGCAAAATTAAGACAAAAATGAGCCGAGAACCCGCAAGGTTTTGTCGAAAATTTTTGTGCTAAAACCTTAACCAAACTAAAGGAATCAACAAATTAAGTCGATTGTTATTATTATTTTTGCATTTCTCGAGAGTTTAAGCTCGTTTTTCAAACAGAAACATAATTATTTAGCAAAATTTCGTTAAAAACAGGCAAAAAATTCAATAAAATGGGCCAAAAATGTCGTTATTTTTGTCTTTTTCAAGTGTTTTTGAGATAAAAACAAAAACTTTCGGAAAGTTACAGGCTGAACAGCAACAAAATTAAGTCGAAATTTGATATCGATGTTATTTACTTAGATTTAATGGATTTAGTTTTAATGGTCTTTGAACAAAAATAAACCGAGAAATCATAAAATTTCGTGGACAATTTCTGTACTAAAACCTCATTTTTTTTCGCAAGATTTCGCTGAAACAACGAAATAGGTCGAAAATTTTATTATTTTCGCGTTCCTCAGCACGTTTTTAAGGCAGAAACAAATATTTCGTAAAATTCGTTAAAAATTCTACAAAATAAGCCAAAAATATCGTTATTTTTGCCTTTTTCACACATTTAATAAGCACGTTTTTGACATAAAAACAAAAATTTTTCGAAAAATTTCGTTTAAACAAGCTGGAGAAATTACAAAATTAAATCGAAATCGGTTAATTTTTGTTGCTTGTTTCACTCGAGTTACTTCGTTTTTGAACCAGAGGCTCATTTATTTTGTAAAATCTTGTCTAATCACAAAAAAAATAATTGATATTAATGTTATTTTTCTAGTTTTACTGAATTTAAGTGGTCTTTGACCAAAATTAAGACAAAAATAAGCAGAAAAACCACAAAATTTAGTCGAAAACAAACCAAAAAAAAACAACAAATTAAGTCGAAAATTATATTATTTTCGCATTTTTCGAGCTAAAAACGCAGTTATTTCGCAANAAGATGAAAATCCCGTTTTTTCCATATACCGAGTCAAAAATCACTATTTTTTTTAAGATAGAAACGCAAAATTTCGTTAAAAACAAGCAAAAAATTCAACAAGAGGTCAAAAAGCTGCTATTTTTGCCTTTTTCAAGTGTTTAAGCTCGTTTTTGGGATAAAAATAAAAAAAATTAGGAATATTTAAATTTAAATCGAATATATATTTTTGCTTGTTTAGTTTTTGAGGTAAATGAGCCTCTGGTTTTGCATAATTTTGTCCAAACACGCCTAAAAATCACAAAAAGAATTGATAAAATTAAGCTTAGAAACCAAGCCGAAAATTTTTGCGAGACTTCGCTAAAACACTTCAAAAGAAACAACAAATTAGGTCGAAAATTATAATTTTTTTTTATTTCTTGAGTGTTTAAGCACGTTTTTCAGTTAGAAGTTCAATTATTTCGCATAATTTCGTTAAAAACAAGCAAAAAATTCACAACAAAATAGGCCAAAAATGTTGTAATTTTAGTGTGTTATACATTTTTGAGATAAAAACAAAAAAAAATCGTTTAAACCGGCTGAAAAAGTACAAAATACAAAATTTGATATCAATGTTGTTTTCTTAGTTTTACTGTATATAAGTGGTCTTTGAGTGAAATTAATAAAAAATAAACCGAGAAATCACAAAACCTCAGGTTTTTTGCGAGATTTCGCTAAAACAAACCAAAAAATCAACAAATGAAGTCGAAAATTGCATTCCTCAAACCCTTTATCAAGTTTTTTGCAATTATTTCGCAAAAAACAAGCAAAAAATTTAACAAAAGAGGCCAAAAATGTTCTTATTTGTGCCTTTTTCAAGTGTTGAAGCACGTTTTTGAGAGAAAATCAAAAAACTTTGTAAAAATTTCGTTTAAGCAGACTGAAGATGTACAAAATTAGATCGAAATTAATTGCTTATTTTTTTGCATTTCTCGAGCCTTTAAATAGATTTTTCATATTGAAACCCAATTATTTTGCAAAATTTTGGTAAAAACAAAACCGAAATTTCACAGAATTTTGCCTTTTTTCGAGACTTTAAGCCGAGTTTCTTATATCATATTTTCACCTAACTCTTAGGCTTTAACTAACCACTCAGTTTATGTAAAAAAAAGGTAAATTTTTGATACTTGGAAGGATTTAAATCGTAATCTGGTAATCTGGTGAATTTAATTTTTTTGAGCTGGCAATACTGGCACCGATAACAGTCTGTATGTATGTACTTCAATAGGCGCAACAAGAACGAATCAAAGAGCAAGAAATCGGGAAAGCAGAACAAGCAAGACTCGAGGAAATTTTAAATATGTGTGTTGAATACGAAAAGCAAGCACAATCAGAAAAAAATAAACTCACACCCAATAGGTTTGTTGCACTTTTTATTCTTGCTAAATACTAAAATTTTTATCACTAGAATAAAAACTAACGGTTCGCTACCTCGTGATAAGCGTCAATATGGACCCTTATCTCCTGTGTACACAACTCCTCCGCCCTCACCGAGAGACATGGAAATCGTCCAGCACGAAAACAGGAGGAACAATTCTTCGTACGAAAATATTACTATTAATAGGGATAATTCATCGGAACGAATTAATGCCAATTATGATAATGTTGACGAGTTTAGGACAACGAAGTGCAACAGTCCATACGAAAATATCGTCCCGGCGCATCAATCGCCAAGGACGAGGATCAAAACCATCGCTTCCTCAAACCGTGACGGGTAAGGCGGATTTTGATATGAAATAATAAATGCACAGTAAAAATAATAAATGCACAGTAAAATAATAAACGCACAGTAAAATAATAAATGCACAGTAAAATAATAAATGCACATTAAAATAATAAATGCACAGTAAAATAATAAACGCACAGTAAAAATAATAAATACACAATAAGAATAATAATTGCACAATAAAATAATAACGCACAGTAAAGTAATAAATGCACAGTAAAATAATAAATGCACAGTAAAATAATAAACGCACATTAAAATAATAAATGCACAGTAAAATAATAAACGCACAGTAAAAATAATAAATGCACAGTAAAATAATAAACGCACAGTAAAATAATAAACGCACAATAAAATAATAACGCACAGTAAAGTAATAAATGCACAGTAAAAATAATAAATGCACAGTAAAATAATAAACGCACAGTAAAATAATAAATGCACAGTGAAATAATAAATGCACAGTAAAATAATAAACGCACAGTAAAAATAATAAATGCACAGTAAAATAATAAACGCACAATAAAATAATAACGCCCAGTAAAATAATAAATGCACAGCAAAAATATTAAATGCCCAGTAACAATAATAATAAATGCAAATACAAAATAATAAATCGCAAAGCGTTCAAAAACAAACAACAAAATAGGCCAAAAATGTCCTTATTTTTGCCTTATTCAAACATTTAAGCACGTTTTTGACATAAAAACAAAAAAATTTCGAAAAATTTCGTTTAAACAAGCTAGAGAAATTACAAAATTAAATCGACATTGGTTCGTTTTTTGTTTGTTTCACTCGACTTACTTCGTTTTTGAACCAGAGGCTCATTTATTTTGTAAAATCTTGTCTAAACACGCTTAAAAATCACAAAAA